GCTTCAAAAGAATTTCGTTAGAACACAAGTTTGTTGAAAGGATTACTTCTACAGCAGACCGGTTTTGTCCGATGCTGTTGGTGATTTTTTTTCGGATAAGTTTGATAACTTGTTACAGGTTCAAACAAGGCGATATTCCGGTGAATCTTCAACTTTATCCAGTCCTACAAGCAGCTGATGTGCTCTTGTACAAAGGAACTCATGTGCCAGTGGGCGATGATCAAACACAACATTTGTTATTGATGAGAGATTTAGCCGCTAAATGCAATGCTGTCCTTCATTTCGATTTCTTCCCAGTACCTGTCCAGGTATTTGAAAATTTTATTTGATACTTAAGTCAACTATAATTCTTAGTCTTGTTCTGTGTCCTATGCATTTAGAAGTTTTCCCAGTCACCTTGACCTGTACTACATCGATTGGTGTTTGTTTTTGCTTGCAATCCAAATGTTTTTTTCATCTCCTAAAAGAGTTACCAGCTCAACTACCCTTCGGCAGCCCTGGCGATGTTTATCGGTTTCAAGATATCCTTGTGTATGTATGTGTGTCTTTGTGTGTGTGTTTGTTTAAAGTACATATATTAAAAAATTACTGGAATTTACACAAAAATGGAATTTACTTCTTCCATCCAGTACATGCAAGTTTAAAAATTTTCACTCTGGTTGCCTGTAATTTGCCATGGTTCCGGAATTGCGGATTTCAATTTTTTGTTGGCTACATTCTTAAGGGAAATCAACACAATTAGTAGTTGATGTGGTTCACTGAATTGTACACGTAATTACAGGTGAGCGCGAAATGTGTGCGCCTGAAAAGTTTGCAAGACCCGGAGAAAAAGATGAGTAAATCAGTAGGTAATAATCGATCGCGTATTCTAATCTGTGATACAAGACAAGAAATCGATGAGAAGTGTGCAAAAGCTCTGAGCGATTCGATATCCAAAATTACATACGACCCGGTAAATCGTCCCGCAATCAGTAATTTGGTAGGTTTTTTTGCACAAAAATCTGATTTTTTTTGCCTCCAAAATTGCCTCAAAAAAAGCATACAGCTGTGCATCCTTTCCTAACATTCTAGATCTATAAAAAGCGCACTGGATGTGCCCCAAACTACATTTAAACTTCACTGTGTTGCTTTAAAAAAAAATTTACAACAGCGGATCCAGTATAAAGTAATGTAATGTTGTATCCTCCACTTTCTTTTCTTTTGCAGAAACGCATTGTTTCAGGTTACGCTTTATTCCTACGCAACTGGTCTGTCAACCGAAGAAGTAATCCAGGATTGTGCCAATTTAGATACAAAGGGATTCAAGGCTCGTTTGAGTGAAAAAATCGACGCACATATTGCACCTATTCGAGAGAAATACGAAACTTTGCTACAAGAACCGCAGTTAATTCAAGAAATTTTAATGTACGGTGCGGACCGAGCAAGAGAAAGAGCACGCGAAACAATGCAAGAACTGAGGGAACTTCTTGGCCTTAATGTTTGTGGAAGGATAGAAAGTGTTATGAAGTCTCGAACAAGCGCCTAGAAATTGCTGGTAGCTTGCCAAATTTCGCATGTGACATAAGATTTCTGCGCTGGCATCTCCCAGTAAGCTCACATTTTCATCAGAATTTACTAGTCGGCTGCAAAAAGTGGTGACCAACAGGCAAAACTGACCTGAGGTAACTGTATGAAAACGTATTGATAATTCCCTGTTTACACGCTGAAATTGTGAGCTGCTTCCAGCAAGTCAACGATCACGTTTATAGAGATATTTGGCCCCTTTTACAGTAAAAGAACTGCGACAATCTGGTAAATTTTTTGACTAGTTTAAGTTTGAAAGTTTGCAAGCACATTTAGTAGGTCTGTAGTAAGCTAAGCCCACCTTGGATAATAAGTGTGAGTATCCCATTTTAGTGAGTTAATAGAATGCTTCTACAAGCCAGCCACAACCAGGTCCTTTGATCGTGACCGCACTTAAGATTCCTCTTTGCGTATAGGCCGTTGAAGATTGACATATAAAAAAAAGGAAAAATTAATCTGTCGGCAGCCGACATTGTTTTCGTGAAATAGTAAGATGGATGTCGTGGTCGTTGTGGGGCGGGGGCGCACAGAAAACGTTTACTGGATGTGAAAAAAAGACAGTAATCAGCAATCAAAATAACGATTGGGTCGGCCTAACCATAGAATGGTGGGACGTGAAGAACTCTGCCAAACTCCCGTTAGGGCCAGTCGATGAGAGGGGCGATGCGAAGAGTCAAGTTGTGAGTTGAAGAGAGACGTGAAGACCAGGATCCAGACTGAAGGAAATGGGGTTTATATGGAGCTTAAAGGATCCATCCCGGAAGTGAAGGAGTATCCCTCTTTCCCGGTGATGAATACCCAGAAGGACAGGCGTGTTAGAAAAAGTTGTTGACCAAGAAAAGGAAAGAGTTTGTAGATGGGTGGGATGGATTAAGAGGGGGTGGGGGATTGGGTTACTGTAATGAATCCTGAAAAGAAGGAAATAGAAATAGCATAAAAACTATATGTAACATATTTGTACTTATTCATTATCTCCCCCTCTGGAGGAGATTTATATCTCCCTCTTTTGGCGCGCTTACATGATAATGGCAAGGAATGCGGTTCAAAGAACGAACGGATGCCTCCATATGGACGTATTCCTAACTTGCCATAGACAAAATGAAAATCTCAGCTAACACAAAACGCCGCTTCCTTTTCATTACAGAAAGAGAAAGAGCGTGTTATCATTTGATCTCATTATATCTTCAGACAAACAATCCCTCTCCTTGCGTACAGTCCCGCCCTATCTGTTTTGCATATAAGCTCGCGCAGCTAGCAACATTTACTTTTAGTTTGGCTCATTCAATGTTGTTGTGCACTTCTTATTCCGCTTTCATTCTTCCGCGCCTCACTATACGACCAGTCGTCCTATTTGGCCTCGTCGTCTCATATTCATCGCCAATTCGTCATCCTCTCCATTTTGGGCAGCCCCTAGGCACCACTGAAATTCTCGGCTGCCTGGATTTGCAATTTGTATCTTCAAGTGCTCCGACATGGCAACGTACCAGCAGTCAGGTTCCTCCTTGCAGTGGATATTATCTACTGTAAGTCCGCGTCTGGTTTCCACAGATCCTGCTGCTTTCCCTGACCCAGTGAAGTATGTCGTCGCATTTGAGCGGCACCTCAATGTAGTCATTCATCCAAATCAGGCACTGCACGTACTTCATCGAGCGCCGGTACTCTTAGGCATCAAACCGATTCGGTCCTTTTCGACTCCTTTTCAGTTGACAGCTTGTCTAAGCTGCAGGTTAGCGACAATATTCATTTGACACAGTGTGCCAAGGTTTTGATAAATGGGATTATCATTCAATTTCAAAATTAGTTCGACACACTGGTACGTTCAGTCCTACCCAACTCGAATTATCGCATACGGGCGTATTGACATTTCAGGCAGCTTTTTAACTGAATTAATTCCCGCCTTTCCGAGCACACCTTTTATTCTGCATAATCCACAAGGTCGTCATCGATTTGTTAGCCGCTACCACGAAACAGGAGCTGCGGCGCGGTCGTACCAAGCAGTTGGCGACTCTCCAACTAACACGTATAGCGGCCAACTACTTTGGACGTGTCAAGTCGTCCTTCCCCCTGGCGTACAGCTGGGATTTAACTTTGTCCTCCCACGGTTTTACCGCAGGCAATCACACACTCAATATATCTCGCAGTCTGTGTCAGCGTGTTAGCCAAAATGTATCTTACTTCCTCCCCATTTGCGGAATTTAAGTATAATCTTTTCACGCCGTTTGACGGCAAAATCTCGTTTAAAGAAACAATCTCGCTTTATGAGAACATTCTCCTGGCTGTTAACGTGTACCTCGAAAGAAAGATTAGCCGTATAATGAGCATGACTTCTTTTCGTGGTAAGGCATGACATGGCGATAGAGATTTCAGTTTGCACATACCAGCCACCAAGGATTCATAGCTGCTGGCTTGACGATTAAAATATTGGCAGAAATTGACGTCCATTTTGATTGAAGTACCTGGAATTGAGGAAGGTTTGCACGCTGTAACCAGAACCGCCTATCAGATGAGCATGGTAATACCTCGCTGATTTTAAGAGCTAATATGCAGGATATAAACTTTAGAGTACACGCACGCTGTGATCACAGTGCGTGTCGAACCGGATGCTTCACATACAGGTTTTGAGTTTCGTATCAAGCAATTTCGCAATCGTGCCATTCATGTTTCAGAACCAAATGCGCGTATCATGGAGTTGTCTTGGGTATTGAGCCTTAAGAGTCTGTTGTTGAAATGCTTGGGGAAGTCTCACATAAAACTTCCTCTGTTGTTACGGACGAGCAAACCCACGTAGTCCAAACGCTCCTGGTCGACAGGTCAGTGCTTTTCCACCAGGCCCTGGCGGGTGCGGGAAAAACGAATGTGATTGGAGCCTACGTCGCTGAGTTTTTGCCTAAGCTAGAGTCGTCGGACATGGTGTTGATGACTGTCACCACTAACTCTGCTGTTATCAATGCCACTAATGCTATTTTAGCCCATTTACCTTCACTACCGCAGGACTAGCTATCGTTTTTGCAATCCGCTCACGCCGAGTTACACTTTCCTCATCAAGATGATCAAGATCCAAAACGATGGACTGAATCCAGACTACCCGAAGCTGGACGCATTGCGCACGACGAGCGGAATTGTCTTCGGGGCCGCCTTCCTCATAAGGGTCTTAAGGGCAATGATTCCCGGGCGCTACGTATCGCTTTTAGAAGCCACTCGCACATGCTGCTTGCGGGAATTCTAGCCATGGTTTATGGAGCATTGTCACTGCTCCAGGACAGTGTCACCCATCTCATTATTGAAGCACGGACCGTTCCAGAAAGCCAGCTTCTCGCACTGACCACAGGCTTTCCACGGTTACGTTCTGGGCATAAGTAACATATGTTTTATATTTACCCCTTATTATTTTTCCCCTTTCCTTCCTTATTATCCCTTTAGGTATTGATACACTACATAACTTCTACAAGACGTATTTCGATCTACTATACTTTTTTCTTACATCTATCTACTACACATACACAGAACACTTACGTCACTTCTCATTCGACTAACGTCATGTCTGCTGTACGCACATCTTTCTCCCTCTACCT